TACCTGCTACTAGACCCCGACTTCCTCAACTTCTGATGGGGCTATCTTGAGGACTGCTACATGGTACTAACACGCAGCCAAACCCATCTCCACCATCAGGAGCTCTGGGTCAGCACTGGTTAGTGCATAAACTCTGCACCTTGGGTGAGCCTGTATCATTCACCAGAGTGACCTGCTGCTGCACATATCCAGCTGGTTAGTGGGAACCTCTCTACAGCTATTGCTACTGTCCTCCAAGCCTGACCCTTGATCTTGACAGGGAGCAAACATGCACCCTCCTGAACCATACAGACAATGTTTGGAGGCCAAGGGCCTCATCCCCTCATCCTGTACCCCAAAAAAGGGAAATGTTAAAATTCCTCTTTTGAGTTGGGTGTCCCCCAGATATATAGCTTCCTCTTTAGGTGAATAAATATGGGGTACATGGTACCCTTTGTTAACTCATTACCCCCAAAACTATGAAAAAGTAAATAAAAATACCTAAACTGTGAAAAGGTCCTTTATTAGAAAAAAAAATAATCAGTGTCCCCTAATATAAAGTCAGTGTCAATCATCTTGTTCTCTAGTGATGTAGATTCATATCAATCAAGATGACCCACCGCCTGATGAAGTTGACTCATCAACCTGTTGACCTGTCGCCCAACAATGTTCACCCTCTGCTACTCCTGTCTTTAATGACAAATCTCTCAATGTTCACCCTCTGCTACTCCTGTCTTTAATGACAAATCCCTGGCCAGCTGCTGTATGTAAAAGAAACAACAACAAAAAATCTGAATTACTTCATTGACCAAAATATGGTGTACAACCATTGCAAAGTAACACTTATGTATGAGTTTTGTCTACAAGCAGCAGCTGGGAGTTCAGGCAGGCAAACTGGCCACATTTTTTTCACCCTTGAACACAAATGTGAACAGGTTAGGTTCTGGTCAAACACATGTTCAGCCTGAATCTAAAGTTCATTCCTGGATAAAACTCCTCTCAGATAAAATATATTTGCTTTCTGTGTCCCATTCGGAAGATCTCTACAAATTTACCCACACCTCCTGTTCTGATGACAACTGAAATATTTTGGATTAATCTTCAGTTTTTGTCTTCTGACAATGGCCACCAGTAAACAGAGATAGTGATTCTACTCAGCAGGAACAGTAACAGCAATAAACACATGACCATAGTGAGTAGGTCTGGGTTTTATTCAGCTTTGCCTGTTTAAGCCCCTCCCACTGCAAACACAGTTTGGCAATGTCCACTACTACTAGTGCCACACAATTTGTTTCCTTACAGTGCTCTGACGTGCCCCAGGTCTTACAAAATCCTAGCAACCCCTTTGTGATAAAGCATTAAGTTATTATATAAAGATATCAACTTGTTTGGAGTTTGAAAGTGAAAAAAGTACGCCGGAGTGAGGATTTAAAATATATGTTTTTATGTGCCATTTTTTTAAATAAATGCCCAGATAATGTTATTTCAGTACTGTTTGCAAAGATATATACAGTATTATTCATTATATCCTTTATGTCATACATATTTTTCCCACATTAGGGTCCTCTAATACTTAAATTTCACTGTCCTTCTCAATGAATAGCTAAATTCTGTCATTAGAACTAAAATCTTAGTTCATCTCTGGCAAGCTTAATGCTGATACAGATATAGTATCTGCAGATACGGTGTGCAAAGTTATTGAACTGTCTTCACATAATGCAAAATTATGTAAAGAAGCAAGAAAGTAGGACAGCTCTAGCTATAAATTGAGAATTACTGATATGGGTTATAATTTTCCAAGAGGCCATAATGTGCTAATTTTTTTTTCTGATCCTTACCATATTTTCATATCCATGGCAACAAAGACTAGCTGTTACAGTATATGCTGCCAGACTTCAGGACATTATGGTTTAAAATACAAAGTTTATACATCTCTTTATATGAACCATGTCATGAGAAACTGGTATTACCTGTGATATGCATGATCTGCTATTAAAGTGGTTTTAAAGGCTGATGGTTTGTTCACCTTAATGCATTCTATGCATGAAGGTAAAAAAACCTGTGTACAGCAGCAAACCCCAGCCCCCCTTATACTTACCTGAGCCCCATCACAATCCAGCAATGTGCATGAGAGCCTCGGCTCTCCAGGCACTTTCCCTCCTCATTGGCACCCACTGCTGTAAATTACAGCCAGTAAGCCAATTAGGAGAGAAAGGGAGAGCGAGCCTGCTTAGGTGCCCCCATAGCAAGCTGCTTGCTGTGGGGGCACTCGGCAGGAGGGAGGGGCCAGGGGCACCTGCGGGGGACCCAAGAAGAGAAGGATCGGTGCTGCTGTGTGCAAAACCATTACACAGACCAGGTAAGTATGGCATGTTTGTTGTTTGTATTTTTTTTTTTTATTGCCTTTAATATCACTTTAACTACACTGTGCAAAGTGGCTGGAAGAAAAGACATTGTTGCTGCCTTTACTGGCCAGTATGTATCTTGCACTAACAGAAGTCAGTTGCATGGGTATGGTTGTTATGTGAAATATGCAAAGGTCTGGTTTTGAGTTGTGACTCACTAGACCTCTTCTGCTGCCACCACTGTATTGTAACATGAATATTTCTCATTTTATAGAAATTAACTGCCTCCTGTCCACCATACATATGTATATATTTATATATGTGTCCTAGGATGGGAGCAGTGATATTGATAGCTGATATTATTCTTTAGAGGATGCCATGGACTTTCTGGTAAAAGTAATGAGAGCAACTATACAGCTGCTAAATCACTCTTGTAGGTGGCAGAAGGGGGTTCCCCCCTCCATACGCAGCTCTTTCCCGGGCTCTCCTGTCCCACTGGGAAACCCAAGACTGATGTGACCTGTCAAATTGGGTGCACTGTGAAGAGTGAGAGGAACTTCCGCTCCTTCCTCTCCTCTGTGACTTTTTGTCATATCTGGATTTGGTTTGTTTGTTCACAAGCTGTTAATTGCTTGTAAAGCAGCCAATCAAACTAATCTTGGTTTGATCAGCTGCTTTAGATTGCAGAAGAGACATCTGGGGTCTAGTAGACCCCAGATCTCCGTAAAGAGAACTCGCCATAGCTCATGCTGTCACAAGGGATGTTATTCTTCCCCTGTGTCAGCAATAAAGTTCAATCAAAATAAATATAAATTAAAGAGACAGTATAAAAAAAGTATACATTTAAATAAAATAATAGAAAAAAATTGAATGTGCCCCATCCCCATGTGCTCAACCACAAATGTGAATGCACATGTAGGTCCTGCACACATATGTACAGTAAATGGTAATGGCACTACATGTGAGGTATCACCGTAAGAGAATGATCAGAGATGAATGTCAGAGAGCAATAATCCTAGCACCAGAACTTCTATTTAACTCTAAATTGGTTAACTGTAAAGGCTGTTAGACATCATCACCTATGTATAATTTATTACACTGCTCAAAAAAAATTAAAGGAATACATTTTACAGGTGTAGTCCACTGGCATTTTTTTTCCCTACTCATCTTTTCTGTTTTTCACTAGTTTTACATTTGTTTAGGTTCAGTGTCACTACTGTTAGCATGAGGCAATACCTGGACCCTACAGAGGTAGCACGGGCAGTTCAACTCCTCCAGGATGGCACATCAATACATGCCATTGCCAGAAGGTTTGCTTACCCAGTCTCAAGAGCATGGAGAATATTTAAGAAGACAGGCAGTTACTCTAGGAGAGCAGGACAGGGTCTTAGAAGGCCCTTAACCTATCAGCTGGACTGGTATCTGCTCCTTTGTGCAAGGAGGAACAGGATGAGCACTGCCAGAGCCCTATAAAATGACCTCCAGCAGGCCACTGGTGTGAATGTCTCTGACCAAACAATTAGAAACAGACTTCATGAGGGTGGCCTGAGGGCCCGATGTCCTCTAGTGGGCCCTGTGCTCACTGCCCAGCACCATAGAGCTCAATTGGCATTTGCCATTGAACACCAGAATTGGCAGGTCCGCCACTGGCACCCTGTACTTTTCACAGATGAGAGCAGGCTCACCCTGAGTACATGTGACAGACGTGCAAGAGTCTGCGGAGGCAAATCCATGGAGGGATGCACAGACCTCTACAGGCTAGACAATGGCACCCTGACTGCCATTAGGTATCAGGATGAAATCCTTGGATCCAATGTCAGACCCTACGCTGGTGCAGTGGGTCCTGGGTTCCTCCTGTAGCTTGACAATGCCTGTCCTCATGTGGCGAGAGTATGCAGGCTGTTCCTAGAGGATGAAGGAATTGATACTGTTGAATGGCCTCCATGCTCGCCTGACCTAAATCCAATAGCCTCTGGAATATCATGTTTCAGTCCATCTGACACCGCCAGGTTGCACCTCAGACTGCCCAGGAGCTCAGTGATGCCCTGGTCCAGATCTGGGAGGAAGTACCCCAGGACACAATACATCTTTTCATTAGGAGTATGCCCCGTTGTCAGGCATGCATACAAGCACGTGGAGGCCATATGAACTACTGAGTACCATTTTGAGTTGCTGCAATGAAATTTCAGCAAAATGGACTAGCCTGCTGCATAATTTTTTCACTTTGATTTTCGGGGTGTCTTTGAATTCAGTCCTCTGTAGGTTGATCATTTTCATTTCCATCAAATGATGGGGCATCCTTGTGTTCACATTACCCAGTTAATATCAGTATAGATATCCAGTATGATATTTTTCCCCATTAAGATCTGATGTGTTTTCAAAGTATTGCTTTAATTGTTTTGAGCAGTGTATATTGTAGTTTCCAAGCACGTTAGTTTTAAAGTGTGACATGTTAGGGATTGATTTACTCAGCATAACATCATAATTTATATTTTTCCAAAAAATTGGGTATTATATTTTTGTGTGCACTAAAATGTATTAAATCGTATTTCTTCCTGAAAATTTATGTTTGATAAACCGCTGTGCAAATGTTCTGTGCCATAGATAAATTTCAATAGGCACCTTTTTATTCTCCAGGGACTTTGTTTTCAGGGAAATATATATTGTTTTTGGGGGTTTTAAGTACTGAATTTTTCGCTCCATAAGACGCGCTTAGGTTTTAGAGGAGGAAAACAAGAAAAAAATTCTTATTCTGAACCAATGGACTGCAGACATAGTACAGGAGATGACCAGAGACTGCAGACACAGTACAGGAAATGAACAGACACAGTTCAGGAGATGACCAGAGACTGCGGACACAGTACAGGAGATGATCAGAGACTGCGGACACAGTACAGGAGATGCCAATAGACTGCGGATACAGTACAGGAGATGACCAGAGACTGCGGACACAGTACAGGAGAAGACCAGAGACTGCGGACACAGTACAGGAGATGACCGGAGACTGCGGACACAGTACAGGAGATGACCGGAGACTGCGGACACAGTACAGGAGATGACCGGAGACTGCGGACACAGTACAGGAGATGACCGGAGACTGCGGACACAGTACAGGAGATGACCGGAGACTGCAGACACAGTACAGGAGATGACCGGAGACTGCGGACACAGTAAAGATGACCGGAGACTGCGGACACAGTACAGGAGATGACCGGAGACTGCAGACACAGTACAGGAGATGACCGGAGACTGCGGACACAGTACAGGAGATGACCGGAGACTGCGGACACAGTACAGGAGATGACCGGAGACTGCGGACACAGTACAGGAGATGACCGGAGACTGCGGACACAGTACACGAGATGACCGGAGACTGCAGACACAGTACAGGAGATGACCAGAGACTGCAGACACAGTACAGGAGATGACCAGAGACTGCGGACACAATACAGGAGATGACCAGAGACTGCGTACACAGTACAGGAGATAACCAGAGACTGCGGACACAGTACAGGAGATGACCAGAGACTGCGGACACAGTACAGGAGATGACCAGAGACTGTGGACACAGTACAGGGGATGGCCAAGAGACTGCGAACCTTTGGGGAGGGAGGGGGAGTGGGTACCTGAATTTGACAGGTACCCGCTCCCACTTCTGTTGAGTTGTCCTCCTCCCTTTAGTGTGGGCACCCGGCTGTGACAGCTGGGTGCCCACTGCGCATGCGCTTTGTGAATGGTCCAGCATCTTCTGGGACCTGTCATGTGTCCCAAAAGACGCCGGACCATTCACAAAGTGCAGCGCTTCTCACGCATGCGCAGTGGACGCCCGGCTGTCACAGCCGGGTGCCCACACTAAGGATGCTGGCACTGGAAGACTATACAGCGCTGGACCGAGGAACAGGTAAGCTTCTGCTGCAGAGAAGAGCCGAGCGGCCTGCCCGGTATTCTGACACGGCGGCGGGAATACCAGACCAGCTGCTCCATATTCGCTCCATAAGACGCACTGACATTTTCTCCCTTTTTTTGGAGCGAAAAATACCGTAATTTTCCAGCAACAAAATGCAGATTTTTACATATATGTGAACAATGTCTGAAGGGACCTGGATGGCAAGTGGTTAAAGTGATACTAAACATACATACAATGTTTAATTGCCAATATCTTTATTTATCTCATCTGAGTACCTTATTTACTCATTGCTGTTTAGAAGTCACATGACATATCTGAAGTCTCTTTTGTCCTCATGGAAAGCTGAGGGAGGGGTTTCTAATACTCTGCTAATGTAGTAGTCTGTGCCTGCACAGTGTTGATTGGTGCTGTGCAAATCACAATACAAAATAAATATAGGCTTTTAGAATCTAGAATTAAAATAAATAATACAAACAGTGTTTTAAAGCTTCCTACAAATCTACACTCATTGACCACTTTTACACCTTGATAGTACTGTGTTGGACCCCCTTTTGCCTTCAGAACTGCCTTGAGGTGTTGGAAACATTCTTCCGAGATTTTGGTCCATATTGACATGAGTTACTGTTGCCTTTCTGTCATCTTGCACCAGTCTTCCCATTCTCCTCTGACCTCTGCCACTAACAAGGTATTTTCGTCCTCACAACTGCGGCTCACTGGATATTTTTCGTACCATTCTCTGTAAACACTAGAGGTGACTGTGCGTCAAAATCCCAGTAGATCAGTAGTTTTTTAAATACTCGGACCAGCCCGTCTGGCTGCAACAACCATGCCACATTAAAAGTCACTAAAATCCCCTTTCTTCCTCATTCTGATGCTCGGTTTGAACTTCAGCAAGTCGTCTTCACTACGTCTAGATGCCTAAATGCATTAAGTTGCTGGCATGTGATTGGCTGATTATCAATTTGTGTTACCAAGCAATTGACCAGGTGTGCCTAATAAAGTGGCCATTGAGATGTTTCAAAGCAAATGTTTATTATTTTTTTCTTATTATTTTTTTCTTATATCCTGCCCCCATAGTGCTTAGCAATAGCATGGTGCAGGTGAAGTTTAAGTTAAAGTGTTACTAAACCCACAACAGTAAAATCAGTCTGTATATGCAGTAAAGCATGCTTGTTATACTCAGTGTGGAACCTAAAGGGTTAATCCTCTGCATTGTGTACAAATGCTGTTTGATCCTGACCTTTCTGATCCTCCCCTTCTTCCAGTTCCCCCCTCTTATCTCCTGATAAGACATTTTGTGTGGTGACACGCTGCACATGCTCAGTTTGGTGTGTATTGCTAGAGAAGCTTTCTTTGGGGGAGAGTGCATGTGATCAGCACAGGGCCAATCAGCACTGTCCTGACAGAGGTCAGGGGTTCTGCATCCTCCTAGAGCAGAAAGAAAACTCCTCCTATAAGCTTAACTTCTGATGGAACAAGGTATTTAGCAGTTTATATTTACTAAAATAATTGCATTTCCATGTTCTGTGTACTGTGGGAGACCAAAAAGAGTGAATGCAGGGTCCTGTGTTTAGTAACATTTTAACTGGCAATAGCTTTCACTTTGTTCACATTGTAAAGAGATCTGGAGAAGGTTCTGCCAAACACAGGCTGTACCATGCCCCTCCAGCCTGTGTCTATGGTGTGCATATGTTGAGACTAACAGGGAGGTGAAGCCTCCATCAATCATTATATCCTGCCCCCATAGTGCTTAGCAATATGAGCACATGAGGTCACATGACATTTCCCAGGTCTTTCTTGTCCTCATGGAAAGCTGAGGGAGGAGTTTTTAGTACACTGCCAATTTAGTAATCTGTGCCTGCACAGTGTTGATTGGTGCTGAACCAAATATGTGTCATAAAAAGGCTTTTGTAATATAGAATTTAATTAATAGCAACAGTGCTTTTAAAGCTTCATACAATTCTATATTTCAAAGTAAATGTTTATTATTTTTTTGCAATACCTGACAATAGCTTTTACTTTGTGTGCATTGTAAAGAGATCTGGAGGAGGTTCTGACAATCACATTCTGTATCACGCCCCTCCAGTCTGTGTCTATGGTGTGCATGTGTTGCGACTAACAGAGAGGTGAAGCCTCCATCAATACCCATCTTATATCCTGCCCCCATAGTGCTTAGCAATATGAGGACATGGAGGAGAAAGGGACTGGGAGTGTCATTCACCATTGTGTATACGCACACTCTATAATCAAAATAAGCAAATTAACAGCTTAGATGAGAACTGTAACTGGAGCATGCTCAGTAGATGTCAACAACTGGTGTACATAATCTCAGGCTGCAGCAGAGACGCAGTCAAGGAGGAAAGGATAGTGAACAGCAGGATCAACCTGAATTTTTGACATCTATAGAAAACAAAATGCTCTAATGGATGAGTATGAAAGCAATGTACTATAGAATGTATCGACAATTTTCGATTATTTGGGTTCAGTGATGCTTTAACCGTTTCGCAGCCAGGCCCTGGGCTTCACTTTTAACTCCTTCCTGCCTGGCCTATTGCACGATGATGTACTCCCAGGATTGTATCTCACTTGCATCCAACAGGCCGCACTATTTGTCACTGGCTGTGTCCAGATCACTAGATCACTACACCGGCCAGCTGCCAGTGTCATGTGATCGCTTTAACCAGTCATAGCAGATCACATAACAATTGTAAACATTGAATGGCTTCCTTTCATGCCATTCATTTCTACAACTGTGATGCTAGCTGTGATTGGTCACAGTGGGGCCAAAAAAGACTAGGCCAATCACAACCGAACTGTAGCATGTTATCAGGTGTGGCAAAGCTGACAGCTGATCACAACAAAAACTATTGAGTGAATTAGCTTCATACAGTAAAAATGCTTGCTTATACTAATGAAATTCATTAACCACTTGCCCTCTAGAGGATTTACCCCCCTTAATGGCCAGGCCTCTTTCTGCTACTCGGCGCTGACTAATTCAACTGATACTTGCGCGGTCATGCAATGCTGTACCCAAACAAAATTTATGTCCTTTTTTTCACATAAATAGAGCTTTCTTTCGGTGGTATTTGATCACTTGTGCGCTTTCTATTTTTCACGCTATAAACAAAAAAAGACTGAAAATGTTGAAAAAAAACAATATTTTCTACTTTCGGCTATAAAAAATATATAGCAAACTCAAAGTTAGTTATAAAATTAGACCAAAATGTATTATGCTACATGTTTTTGGTAAAAAAAAATCCAATATGTGTATATTGATTGTTTTGTGTGAAAGTTATAGCGTCTACAAACTATGGTATAGATACTGCAATTTACGCCATTTTTTTGCTATACACCGCTGCACTAGTTTAACTGACAATTGGACGGTCATGCAACACAGTACATATTAAATATTTACGTATTAAATTTCTGTCCTTTTTTCACACAAATAGAGCTTTCTTTTGGTGATATTTGATCACCTATGCGCTTTTTTATTTTTTTGCGCTATAGACAAAAAAAGTTTTGAGAGAAATTTTTTTTTTTTTTTTTAAAAACTATATTTTCTCATTTCTGTCATAAAAATATCCAAAAAAAAACGAAAATGTCATCATAAATTTAGGCCAAAATGTATTTTGCTAACTTTTTTTGGTTAAAAAAATGCCAATAAGTGTATATTGATTGCTTTGTGTGAATGTTATAGCATCTACAAACTATGGTATAGATCATGGAATGTACACAGCTTTTACTTTCTCACTGCTCATCACATTTCTTGAGGTGCTAAAATACCAGGATAGTACAAACACCCCCAAATGACCCCTTTTCGGAACGTAGACACTCTAAGCTATCTGCTAAGAGGCATATTGAGTCCATGGAAAATTTATTTTTTTCCCACAAGTTCTGGAAAATTACAAAAACTTTTTTTTTTTTTTACACAAGGTTGTCATTTAAATTATATATTTCTTGCACAAGCCATGGGTATATGTGGAATTACACCCTAAAATACATTCTGCTACTTCTACCGAGTATGGGGATACCACATGTGTGAGACTTTCTGGAGCCTAGCCACATACAGGAGCCTGAAATCCAATGACCACTTTGAAAGCCTGAAGGTGCGTAACTTCCTCATTTCACTTCTTCACTACCTATCACAGTTTCGAAGGCCCTAAAATGCTAGGATAGCACCAAACACCCCCAAATGACCCCTTTTTGGAAAGTAGACACCCCAAGGATTTTAAAAAGAGGCATGCTGAGTATTTTGCAGATCTCATTTTTTCTCACAAGGTTTTTAAATCGAAAAAAAAAGAAAAAAGATGTGATAGGTAGTCAGGAAATGTAATGAGGAGATAAAGCCCTTTAAAAGCCTAAAGGTGCTTATTGGATTTTGGGGTCCTGTACTTGGCTAGACTGCCAAAAAGTCTTTCACATGTGGTACCCCCATACTCGGGAGAAGTAGCAGAGTGTATTTTGGGGAGTAATTCCACATATACCCATGGCATGTGTGAGCAATAAATCATTTAAGTGACAATGTTGTGTAAAAAAAAAAAAAAAAATTTTTTGTTTGTTATTTTCCAAAAACTTGTGGTAAAAAAATAAATTCTTCTATTGATTCAACATACCTCTCAGCAAATAGTTTGGGGTGCCTACTTTCCAAAAATAGGGTCATTTTGGGGGG